GTTCAAAGTCAACGTAACCCTATCCTAATAATGCTAATTAAGTATAGTAAATACGTGTATTATTTATTTATTAAGGAAACTAAACAGATACACATATCTATACAGTAAAAATAAAAGTAAAACATAAAATAAACACATTGGACATATGACATATCCACAAAAAGTTTCACTGATAAAAAATACAATACAAAGTAAAACAAGACAAAACATGACAGCACAAAATTTATAAATTAGGAGAACGATAAACAAACCAGCAGCTATAAAAAAAGCAAAATCGCAAAACCAGAAGATACAAGGCTTAAGACATTAAGAGTTTTAACTTATTCTTAAAAGTGTACGTATAGAAGAGGGATGATATATAAATAAATATAAAAAAAGAGTGTGTGTACTTATGTACACGCGTTAGAAGTTATACTTCTTTGGCGTATGGAAAAAAAATAACTAAAATGCAATAGTGATTAACGATAAATATTAAAATTAATTAATAAAATTATTATTAGTAAATACTATCACCGTTGTATATGAAATTGATTTAATAAAAACACCAAAATAATATTTATTTTTTCACACTCTTTAATTATACTGTTACGAAAAACGTGTTCTAAATATAAAAATATTTTGGTTGCTCGATAGAGAGCGCCCCACGCTTTTTCACAATAAAACCAGTATTTTTTGTTCATTACCATTTTCAGCCTAAATTAGGAATTATTTTTCACTATTTAGTTTGATGTGCTTTAAAAGCGTGTTTTATAGTTTTTTTAAACTATATTTATTTTCCACATTTTAGTCCTAGCAGCAATACGTGTTGTCTCAATTTAATCGTATTGCTTTGTGGACTAAAAAAAATTTCATTGTTTTTTCGAGATAAACCTATGAAATTATTATATTGTCGCGGATTCTTTATAAGTGTACAAAGTTTGAATTAAATCTGTCCGTTTAAAGTGGGTCAAAATCGAGTCCGAAGGAGTCGGTTACATACATACATACATACAGGTGAAGCTAATATAAAGCGTGTAAAATACTAGAATATACAACTTGAACATAGTTATTATCGATTTTCATGCCATATAGAACTAACTTCATTCTGTTAATTTTGTGTAACGGTGCGCGCGCATCGTAGAATTTCACTCTCATAAATTTTTCATAACGCGCCTAAAGAAGTATAACTTCAATAATATAAGTGATGAACAGTTCTATCTATTTTTCTATTCTTTTTTACCTATTATATCTATATAGTAGAGGATCCTAGATCAGACTACCTACTAACTGGCCAGCCCGGAGACCCCACTGTCAACATCATCAATCAAGGAGTAATTTGTAGCCGTAGATAGGTGTCACTACATACGCAATAATCGTAGATAGGTTCATTTTTTTAACAATTTGTTTTTAATGTAACGGGGCAAACGGGCAATAGGCACATCTGATATAAAATGGACACTCAAATTGCGAGAAGGCTCGCAAGTACGTTGCCGGCCTTTTAAGAATTGGGACGCTCTTTTCTTGAAGGACCCTAAGTAGAATTGGTTTGGAAATACTTCAGTGGGCAGCTGGTTCCACATAGTGGTGGTGCGCGGCGAAAACTGCCTGCAAAGTCTGCCCAGTTGTAGAACAATGGACATCGATGTGATACGGATGGTATTTGGTATTCTGCCTTGCCGATGATGAAGCTCAGCTGCGGGTATATGATGTTGTGTGCCTAAATAAATTCTGACATACGTGACGTATTAAGCAAGAAGTATAATTAAAAAAAACAAAAAATAAATTAAAAAAATTAAACACACAATAAACATAATAAAAGTCCCCTTTTTGGTAATTCGGCCAAAACATGCTTGAAGAAATAAACAAATCCATTTTGACTTTCTTGATCTTCTAGACAAGTTCTCAAAGAGGATTGTAACTTTTGATACAAGATAAATGATGATATTTTCGCTTTTGTACACCCTTGTTCGCTGTTTTTAGTTTGAAACCAATATAGAGGCCCACAAATGGGACTATACACACAAATAAAAGCTATGAGATCTGCTCGCTTACTCTCCAATTTCTTGTTGCTTGTTGCGTTCTTTAGTGTACAACGGGCTTTAGCCTGGAGTTGAGTTGTTTTGTACCCCGGCAGTAAAATATTAATAAAAGTTCATCGTTCTTGGAAACGAATGTACTTGGCGAGTAAACCCTATACAATAAACAATCGTATTTTATCTGTTTGTTCGTGACATGATACATCGAGAAATTATTAAAAAGAAAAATCCTGGAAAAAAGAATCTATACATTTTCTTGGCTTAAATATTTCCAACGTGTTATTGTTGTGCTATTTATATTTCTCTCGTATCCGCTATAGCAGTGTTTCCCAGGGGCTAGGGCCCCACAGGGGGGTAATTTGTTAATGGGGGGCAATTCAATACTCGATGTTTATAATTATGTTTTGAAAATTTACTTACTGTGATTGGTTAGCAATTACCTAGTGATTTGTGCCTAAAACCTAGCATTTAAGATTTATAAGTGAACAATTAATTTTGTATATTACAAATTATGTATGTTAAAAAGGGGGCATAAGAATTTTAGAAAGGCACAATGGCACAAAAAGGTTGGGAAACACTTCAGGATACTAAACTCTTTAAAAGTAGTTTTAGAGTAAAGGCCCATTTACACGATGCCATTTTCTTGTACATACCAGAGCAATAATTGAATGCAATAAATGAAGCGCAATAATTGCCGTTCAAGAATTGTATGCAACTGTTTACACTTGAAAACTTGAATGCTATTATTGTATTCAAGTATTGACAAGGAAATAATTGCACATGCCTTTGTTTACACCAATGCAACTATTTTAAGGAGATTATTGCTTTCAAGTTTTGACTTGTCTAAACACAGGCTTGTACGTGCGTATACCATTTAATGGCGCTTTCGTGCAAGTATTGCACGTATTTGCATTGACAAATTTTTCATTCGAGTCTTAAATATTTTAGAAGAGTGTCGGAGTTTGAATATGTAAATATTAATGTAATAAAGGCAGGTAACACTTGTCACATGTAAAGAAAAAGTTTTAGTTTAGAATATAAAGAATACCTGTTTGAATTTTATATAAAAAGATAGTTTCTGTTTTTTGTTTTTAGTTCTTCTATTCTAGACGCAGATAGTGTAACATCTTTGGCTCTTTATAAACATTAATTATTGTTTTTTTTTAAATAGACCCTCACCACCAGAGCTCAGTCTTCTTAAAAGATTAGAACCATCCAACAGAGAGGTATGAATATGAGTAAAAAGGTGTTTAAATTCAGTTATGCTGATATAATAAAGTTCATTGAGATTTATCGCAGTCATGAGTGTTTATGGGATACCGAAAATGTAAATTATAAGAACCGATGCACGTAATGCTGCAGCATTTTCACAGGAATTTGAAGTTGACGGTTTCGGACCGAAGGAAATAACAAACAAAATAAAAAATTTAGACTAAATTAATTTTTAATTTATTTAATTTTTATTTAATTTAACACACCCTCACTCACTGCACTCATGTTTGCCAATGAAGAGATAATTGCGTACAAGAATTGCGTAAGAAATTATTGTACGTGCTGTTTACATCAATAATAGTTTTGAAAGGAAACTTTTCCCATTGATCAAGAATGTTACGTTTTGTTTAGACCATGCAAATCATTTATTGCGTCGACATAATTGTATGCTACAGGCAAGAAAATGGCATCGTGTAAATGGGCCTTAAGTTGTCATTCCGTGCTCACACACGGGTAACTATTTTTCGCAGGGAACCAAAACCATGACATATAATTCGAAACGCTTCGAAATGACTTTTATCCAAATACTGTTGTGCGTTAGTACATTATACCCATTCTCGTTACTAAAAATTTACATGCCAAAGCTTTGAAATTTTATTACCCACAAAGATTATTTGAACCCTAGTTAGGCTCACAAAGCGTTTCGACGTCGGCTTTTATTCGTGAAACTCCATCAATTTTCATCACTTTCGTATGAAGATTAGCGCTGATAAGATGAAAGCGAGGAAAAATGACGAATGGGAATGTTTATGAGGACAGGGTCAGGTAACCGACTTAAACGCAATATATCATTGGAGTTATGAATAATGGAAGATGACGTGGAAATTTGTACGGCATCGAGCTGTGAAATCGTATGTCGCGCGGATTATTGAATGGATTTTACACTTATTTTGTTGGGTTAAATATGCGAGAAATGTTCGTTTGGTTTATAATGCGGATGTAATTACGCAGACTTTCTAGTTGTAACAAATACTCAATAATATTTAAATTATATTTTTTACGTTGAGGCTTTTATCGGTAATTTTATTTAAATAGAATATATATTTTTTCGTGCTCCCCTACTGCTTTCGAGCGCCATTTTTATTTGTTATAGGTAATTGTTTTGCACTTGTACTCTTTAGTAAATAATTATATTAGTTTTAATAAAAATGTATTTCCTTTGATATTATACAGTATTTGATGTTTCCTTGTTGAATAAATAAAAGTATAGATTCGTATTACGATTTTCTTCTTTTGCTCTATTTAAATACATACCAATGGCCCTTCAACCTTTAAGGTCTGGGCCTCAGATTTCGGTGATCAGCCTTCTATGGCCGACACACACCTTCGACGTTTTGGGTCTAAGGAATGCCGGTTTTCTCATGATGTCTTCCTTCACCCTACGAGCGAGTGTTAAATGCGCACATAGACAAAGTCCATTGGTATAAAATCAATTTGGGGATAAAAACCTACGACCCTGGGGATGAGAGTCGCACGTTTAAACCCTTAGGCCAACACTCTATTTAAATGCGTATACTCAAGGAATCATTTATAATCTTACATTGGATTGTCTAATTTTTTTGAACTTTGTTGTGTCGTTGAGTAAATAGTCAATAGTATCAGAACATATTATTAGTTAAAAATATCATTATTATCTTTTTCTCAACATTTTATATCTATTATATTTTTGGTACAATTTTTTTATATTATAAAACAATAAAAAACAAAATTCAACTACCTATTTATTACTTCTTTTAAATGTTTCAGGGCCTCATCGAGTGCCAAATACACCTCCTGATTATCTGGAGTACTTAAATCCAAAGACTCTGAACGGCTCCTGTTTGGCATCTTGTGGAGGAAGCTTTGAGTGAGGGGGCAAAAGACGTCTGGATTGATGGAGTCAGTCTTCGACTTGCCCGTGAGGTAGCTCATGGGTATACCGATGAGGAGCACGGTGATGGCTCCAGCGAAAGGGCAGTATGTGAAGGATATTCTGAAGAGAGACTGAAGTGGTTTCGATGGAAGCGGGCTGGAAAATAAAAAGAAATATAGATTTTAATATACTCGTCGTTTCATGTGCTTTAGCAGTCAGTATTTTTTTTTCTTTTTAGCATTGAAAAACCTTAATAATTGGTCTGAAGCGAACATATAATTGTCTGGAAGAAACTATAAGTCAGTAAGGCCGCCCCTTTTACACATTCTTTTATTATTACCCGTTTTGAAATATTGTTTAAAATTACATGACATAATATTATTGTTGCACCGTGAATGGTATTACTTCTCCAACAAACAAGTCATAACTACGCTAGACAATTTTTTTAATATTTTCAACAATTCTAACATTCCTTGGAGTATTCCAAAATACGGTATTAAAAGAACAGTGATAGTCAATATTATATACAATATCTTTCAGCGTTGCTTTATATTTAATAGTCAAAAATGAGTTATTGACAATATACAATAACAATAAATCAAATAAAAGAAGAAAAACGATTATGAACGGTCTTACTGCTAAAAGCAGTTCCTTCCGTCTGGAAGGAACCTCTGGTCTGGTCGTCTGGAACCTAGACGTAATAAATTAATTCATCAAAAAAATAGACGACTTAACTTACATGCAAAGCCAAAAATAACAAACGAGGCAATATTGTTAATTGTTTCTTAAACTTACTTCGCGAGGAAATCACTTAAAATTAACTTTAAGGCGATAAGAAACTAATTTTCATATTAATAAATTTATGAAAAATAGAAAATGAAACAATAAACATTATTTTCGCTTTCAACCTTATGTGTATTTTAACTGATGTTGCTTGAATGGGGCATAGCGAACAAAAAAAAAGGTAAGAACTAAGTGTACCTACGGCGTACCAGCTACTTAGTTACAAATGTACGTCCGCAGTTGATCGAACTATAAATCAAAATATAACCATAAAAGTTTAAAGTATCAAAGAAAAAGTCATAAAACTGTTCAAATCAAGTAATAGTAATATGGAAGTTTTAATAAGTGGGGATAAAAGTTCGGTTTAAGCTTATATTACCCAAGTTGCCAGGCAAAGATTAAAACTTTGGCCGGTTGATCGCTTTTTAAACTTAGAACATGGTTTTTGCTGAGACTTTCTTCTATTTGTATGACGTTGGAATAATTTATCCTTGCGTTAACAGAAGAAAATTAAACCTTTGTATAACGTGTGTTTAAGTTTGTATTTTGTTACTTTTCCTTAAAAAAATGGTAACCATGGTAACAAATATCGAGCTTTCATCGCATATAATAAGGTTTATTAGTTCTTGCTATAAAAACCAGTGGAGCTGCAACCTTTTTGGTCTGGGTCTCAGATTTCTGTATCTAGTAGGTGAACAGCCTTCTTTCTGTGCCTGACACACGCCGTCGAATTTTTGTATCTAAGGCATGCCTGTCGATGTTTTCCTATACTTAACGACCGAGTGTTAAATGCACACATGTAAGTCCTTTGGTGGTCCACGGCCGGGATCGAACCTACGACCTCAGGGATGACAAAGAAACCACTATGCCGACACGGCTTTTTATTGTTCTTACTATCAAGGCTCTTGGAAGGTTGTTAGAACTCCTAAAAAATACGCTTTGTGTAATTACATAATTGTCTTAAAACAACGAAATTTACTCAAAAATGTGTACATCTTTCGGCTTTGTTAACGTAAATCTCGGTAGCAGCGTAACGATAAAAAAATCTAAATGATTTTTTCAGCTTCATAGGCCTACAAACCATACACTTAAGATAGAAAAATCTGACACCAAGATCTATTGGTGCACAACTTATATAAAATAAATACGATTTCAAATGGACACATTTTTCTATAGAACGAATACAAGTTTTAATTTTAAAAAATAAACTTGATGTATTCAATGTATCTCAGGGCACTGGAGTAATCTTTGTACCGTCAGCAAAAGTATTCCAGTAATAAGAACTTTCAGAAGTAATTTACATTACTGTTTCCTCAAAATTCCTTCCTTTACATTTTCCTTCAATTTCGTACCTTTGCTCATAATTAATTTGACAAAGCTTGTGTCAAAAAAGCTATTTATCTTACATAAAAACTGACGCAGAAATATCCTGCCCCATGCCATGGGGATTGAGACTTTAAAAAAAGCTAAATTATGCATTTTTTATGCGTGAAACATAGATTTTTCTGATGGTACTACGATGAATAAGTTTCATGTTTGTTAGGAGTCATATGCGAGTTTTACGCCAAATTGAGCAAATCGCTTTGAAATGTAAATTTATGAATAATTTTGCACTATTTTTGCCACAATTGAATGCGTCATTAAACATGAGCAACGTATTTACACATGAACACCCAATTTATTGCAATAATTAGTCGAATTCAGCTTTTATCTATCCACTAAATTGTGCGGTTTTTCAACTGCAGTGGCGTGATTTGTTTCATCCGTTTGATAATATTTATTTCATACACAAGAGGATCAGCGTTCTGTCTGACACACGATATTTCCTTCACAGAACGTAGTGTTAGATGCGTCCCTAGAAAGTCCATTGTTGCAGAGCTGGGAATGGATCCTACGACCTCAGGGAGTCGCACGCTGATGCTACTAGACCAACACTGCTGTCAGTGTGATTTATTACTAATATATAATGTAGAGTGTAAAGTCCATGTAACGCCCTCGATTTAACGAAATCACTCGTCTTTGGTTGGTTTAGCTTGTCTTCCATATAAATATACACTCTACATACCATTACACACAATTACCGTCAAAAACCCTCTATAACGAGAATTAAATAATAAATAGTACTTTTTAAATTGCTGAAACTACTTAAAACTGCGGAGTTTTGTACGTTTTTTTGTCGCTGTAATGTCCTAGCCCGTAATAAACTCGACTGTCGGCGTCATACGTACCGAACTTTCTAAGGAATCCGTTCTTTTGTTTACAAAATTGGGATTGCTTGCACTGCTTTATCACGAAGATGCCTGAATATCGCGAGATATGAATAAAATAAGTAAAAAAATACAACATATTTGCTGGTGCAGCAAAAGCGTTAGCATAGCGTTCAAATAAGAATTGTTTTTTATGTAATTACTGACACTAGTCTGAAATAATCTTTTTCTTTTTCTAATACAGATTTTTCGTCTTCCATTTAACGACAACTCATTTTAACGTCAAAATATGGACAGTCCCTTAAGTGTCGTTTTAGAGAGTTTACACTGAATATTATATTTTAAAAAGGTGTGCCAACGGGAATTGCAATAAAATGTACATTTTTTAACATACAAACGCATGCTTTACTTTCAAACTAATACTAACAGGATTCTTAAAAATTAATATAAAAACATGTATATTAGCGTAATTATCGGTTATCGTATATTCTTTCTAATCTAATATTAAAGGTGACTAATTTATTACATTATTTTTTCCCACATTCAAACTCATTCCTTAAATATCAAAACACCTTCCAGTTTCCAATCTTCCGTCATCCAGTAAGTTGTAATTTGTTAAGTGTGTAATTTTAATAAAGTTTTTTATCCGTTACAGTGGCGTAAGCTAAATTTAGACTTATAATACCCAAATAACGTTTTAATCATTTAAAAAACTAGTGGTTTCGATTGATATTCATTCTCCATTTATCCAGGTTATATAAATAAAATGACGACGGAACCGACGCGGCTGAGAGTTTTAGATTACTTAGGTGATTTTGTATTATTTTTATCTTTTATTTTTCTCCTAACTCTTAAGTGACTAAGTAACGGACTGTGTACTGTGGTGTTGTACCCTTTAGGCACCAAGGTCTACTTTACTAATGTTTCAACAATAATCATAAAAAATAAATAAAAAACCGTAAATGTCCATAAAATCCAGAAAAAAATGTATACCATATAAAATAAAATATCACTTACGTAATTGTCTGCATGATAGTCGTTGTATTTATCAAAATGTGCGTAAAGTTGGCTTTCCCGCAGCCGGAAGTGAGGAGTTGCTTCCGCTGAAAGGTCAATGCCCCCGTAGCCAACGCGTTTTCAGCTCCAATGAGTAACCAACCGCATAGTAGTAGGCTCAAAAGACAACCGCTTAGCGCACCCTGAAAAAGTTATTATGAGTTTAAAAGGCTGAAAGCATTTCTTGTTAAGAATAAAAAAGTATAAATTTTGCCATAAATACAAAGAAATAACATTAAAAAATCTTAACAAGCTCATAATAGGAATTTAAATTTTAATCAAGTATTAATTTAATAAATGAAATCGTAGAGAATAAACGTAATTTCGTTTTTGTCGCTTGGATAATGTTCATTGTAACTATAAATACTAGCAGACTACAAAAAATTAATTAATGAAGTTAGTTTTTTTAATATGCAATAAAATTTGTTGTTTCTAAATATTAGCGAAGATGCTCTCTAGCGGAGAATCTATAAACTAATTTCCCATGTTAAATCAAGTACAGCGACGTCTCTTAGTAACATAAAAACCAAGTATAAGATATGATGTGCATTGCTTTAGTTTTATTCGTCGTCAAGAGAGGGCGCTATAGTAAATTTGATAGTATTTTAATAATTTTGCTTAGCTCAATGCTCAATGTTTAACATGTTGACAAGAGAGGGCGATAAAATATGTGGTTTGATTTTTAAAACGTCCAAAGCCAAAGCTTGGTGTCTAAAAATTCTTTGATGTTAAAATTTGTCTACAAAATTATTGAAAAGAAACAAGCATTTCTACGATTCAATAATTTACGGCATCTGTACGTCTCCTACGGCTCACCACTTAGGGGCCCTTCAAGTATTACGTAAGCACTATATTGTCTTTGATTTTCTTATTTGGTGATTACGTCAACAGTAATTATTTACTTTTTACACATATTACCCACACACGTCTATGCTTGAAAAGGAAATGCATTTTCGAGGATTCCTACAAAAAATTAACACGTTTATGTACTATTATTTTTAGAGCTTTGCTTACTTTTGCTGAAGGGGGGGATAAATTGCAGGAAATCTGCTTACGTAATACTTGAACGGCCCCTTAACGGCCTTTAGCGAAATTTATTAAGGAAACAGATACAGAAATCTAAGACCGAATAAATATTTTTTACATAAATACAAAAAATTCGAGCTTATGCCAAATCATGTATCTTACCGAACAATTAGCCCTAGAAGACGTTATGCCCAAAGTATAGAGGCCAAGCAAAGTGCCCGCTGTGACTCCAGTGACACCTGTTGCGACGTGCTGCAACCTATCCAGCTCCTTTGCAGACCATACCACTCCAGCGCAGTAACAGCCCACCAGAATACATAGGAACTGCAATTATTAATATGTACTATTTTACACCATTACGAAACGTAACAGGCACTTTTTATAACACAACTACGGGATCAAAATCAATATTAAATACTTTTATCAATATTTAAAACGATTTAGGCATTACGTATATGACATATCCAATGAAGTCAATCATATGATGAACCAAGAAGAGCTGTCATGTAGTGCATCATGTCTTAAAAGGAATGTAATTTTATCCCACCTTTGCAAGTTTCATTCACGCCTTGCTCCGAATAAGTGTATTGTGACGTTTTATCCGAATCCTCTATAAACGAACTGGCTAACACTAAAATAATTTTAAATCGAAGCTGTAGTTGGAGCTGCATAATAGACAAAAAAAAACATGTACAGATTATTATCGGGCCATCACTTCTTTGGGAGTACACTAATTCTCGAAAGTCCATAATTTTCTATAGGATTTTGTTGGAATAATTTTAACCTATTAAAAAGTACAAAATTGTTGCAAAGGTTTTTCAGTTTGTATGGTTTTTTTTCGATATTACCGAAACTTCTTGGATGCCGAGTATTAAAGAAAGAAAGCTCTGGATGTTATGTAAACATTACCTTCATAATTCGACAGCACGCTGATTCCCCTGTGTTGGAAGGCATCCAGGGTCGTATAAATTCTTCAAATATTACTCCCGACACCGAATTAATTATAGACGATATGCAACTGAAATTCATTTATAAATAATTTAATATTTATTGTATATTGATATGGGGCAAACGAGCTTACGGGATAGCCTTAAAAGGCTGGTCATGGTCACCCATGGTGCGTTGCTGCCTTTTAGGGGGGGAGAGAGGGATTCTTTGTTACTTTATATTTGAGTATGTGAGGTAATTACTGGTTATAAAGTTGAGGTAGGTACTCCTACAGTATCAAGTAAAACATTTTAAGTAACTTTTGGATACTTAGGTATAGTTAGGCCCCGAATATTTAATTGTACTCCAAAAATAAGGTTTTCGGTCGAGGGAAATTAAACCAGTTAGGTCACTTTGACCTCACTATTTATTTTCAAACATTTTCAAAATTTACGATTATTTCATCCTTTTTTATTGATTCCGTTATTATTAAGAGTATAATTTGTATTTGTCCCGTAGCAACATATTTTTCCACTAAAAGTACAAAATTCATGAATTCAATTATGTTTATAATATCATTTGTGATTAAGATGTTTTAAAGTCATTTTCTTGTTTTCTTTTCTTTTTCTACTTTCGAGTTACTCTTAGCTCTGTTTTAGCACGGGTTGCCAAGTCAAAATTTTATTGAGTTGTACTGATTGTTTGAAGAGAAAAGGAGTGTAAAAACTTTAAGCTCACCCTGTTGTTGCACTAAATATTGAGATGATAAATATGCCACAAATTCCCGGAAACATTGTAGCCAGGTTATTCAGAAAATGCGGTACTAGCTAAAAAGGAATAAATAATTTTATTTTATTAAAACTACAATATTATAATTATAGTGCTTCTGTGGTTGCAGGTGTTCGAATGCAGATTCGATTCGTTCGGCAGAAATGGGTTACAGCACGTCGCAACAGGCGTCAAATTATAAAATTCTGTAGTCTTCTACGTCGAGTGTCGACAAGATTGGCTCTTGCCAAATCGGCTTTAAGATGATTCGCTGTTCTTTAAGAACTTAGAAAAATTTACGACTTTAAAGAAAAAAGACGTGTGAATTGCGACGGAGTGATTTTCGTCCTACTAACTATATAAACACATTCCATAGATACTATTAGTATTGAAGTATAGGTGAGACAAAGAAGTGTTCGTTTAGTGGATTAAGCATGCACCAATGGACTTTCTGTCTACGCATTGAACACCCACTCGTACGGTAAAGGACGACTCATTGGTCTAGTGGTTACTACCCCTGACTGCGAATCCATGGGTCCCGGGTTCGATCCCCGGCTGAGACGAACATTGATGTGATGAGCATTTGGTGTTGTGCTTAGGTCTTGGGTGTTTAAATATGTATTTATATGTCTATCTATCTATAATATGTATGTATATCCGTTGCCTAGTACCCATAACACAAGCTTCACCAGCTTAGCATGGGACTAGGTCAATTGGTGTGAATTGTCTTTAAAAAAAAAAAAAAAAGGAAAACATCCTGAGGAAACCGTCACACCTTAACGTGACGCCAGCGTGTGTCAGACACAGACTGTATCACGTATTAGAAAGAACAAATGATCACGAAACAGATACACAAATCTGACCAGACTTAAAAGGTTGCAGCGCCACTGGTTAATAGGAGAAACTTAAGATGCTACTTTAAATAAACAATTCAAATTTGAATTAAACTAACTTGTTCATGTTTCTTTATTTGTCCAGTCAGTAACGGATCGCATCCCGCAAACCAAGCGTACAGCGTTAAACCGAGAAAACAAGATAATAGTTTCATCAATATAACGCCCAAGCATGATACAGCTAAGCAAATTCTAGCTTTGCTTATCGTGGGAACTGCTAGAAGCTTCTGTAGCGAGGACTGGCTTAGGGCGATTTTCCAAAGCCAGTTGGTGCTGAGTGCCAATGTGACGACGAAGAATGATGTATGATGCGCTATTTCAGGGTCGGGGCTGAAACAATTGAAAGTCTTGTTTACTAATGACGCTAATAAACAAAAATACCGGGCCGCAGAGACGATATCAAGTGATGAACGTAAATAAAGTGATCTAAATGCCGCTATAATTTTGAATATCTAAACTGCTCATTAATATACATATTTTTAATTTTTTGGCTTTAACAGTATACTAGTTCAATTTTGCACAAATAAATATTTTTAAAGGGATGCAAATAAAAATTATATCAAGGTTCTGTCTTAATTAAATACATTGAGTAAATGATGACTTTGAGAATGTTGACTATTAAATGGAGACTAATACGTTAAAATATAACTTCTACCTGCAACATCCGAAATTCATATTGAGTCAAGCATCCGACTGTTAAATTCAAATTCAAAATCATTTATTAACACATTTGGTAACACAATGTACTGTACACTTAGAACGTCAATAAAGAAATACATATTAAATGCTTCTAATTTTACATTTACTGCCAGTTCTCAAATCAAGGCGTAGAACGGATGAGAAGAACTGTCAATAAACTCTCCGCCACTCTTTTTAATCGCCAAGATTTTTGTTTTACAAAATGTTTGTAAGGAGCTGCAACCATTACACCATGTTCCACATGACATCTTATGTAATGAATATGACGCATGGCCAGCCATCGGCCCCCTCGCCATATTGGTTGGGCGAGAAAACCCGACGCATGGATGCCGCCACAAGCATTTAAGCGAGCATGACGATCCTTGAAATGTAAACTTGGCTATATAAAAAAATAATAATAATACTAATTATACTGAAATAATTTGATACCACGTCGATCAGCATTTGCTCCCACTTTACTTTAAAACAGTCGTGGATGTTGACGATCGCCCCCGAGTCTGGAAATGCAGCCGAGAGATTCAGTTGCGAACTACTTCTTTATACTAAAGCAAATCATATCCAAGCACTAGGATCGTTTAAAATTCATTTGTATTATAAAAGGCCTTAGCAATAAGCTTTACTTTAACGTACGATTAAAATTTATTTATTGTCAACACTTGTCATCTCACTAGGGATTTTGTTGAAAAAACGTATACAATTGCCTTGGAAAGAAATACTCGTTTTATGCAGCCTTGCGGTTGGTGCACTAATTTTGTTTTTATTACGAGAAGGTACTATATTTATAGAAGCTACTATTTTTTATAAAGATACACGTATATTTTTCCGCACACACAAAATATTCTCATATTTTTTAAATTTATCTACCCTCGTTATATAACATTGGGAGTTAACTGATTCCGGATGTGGCATGAAGTAATAATATTTTTCAACGAAAAACACCTCTTTTTAAGTAGTCAAACATCAAAGTCATCATTTACTCAATACTGAAGGTTTGCGAATGTCAGATAAATTAAGTCATTGTCAACACGACTATTGACAAACTCAAGTACATGTTTATGTAATTTAAAAGAAGGTGGATGAACTTTAATAATTGCATGTATATGTTTATATTTGATGCACTGATATACTTAGTTCACATATTATGCAGAAGTATTCTTAAACAAAAAAAAAGTGCGTGCGTACAAAGTACACATGTCAGAAGTGAAACTTCATATTTGTACAAATCTAAAACTTTAGATTTCCGAGACTTAGAGAAAGGGAAAAAGGAAGATATTATGTTAGGAATTTAATGAATTTAATAATCATTAAAATATTAAAAGTGTCGAAAATTAATACAAATAATAAATTTAATTGTTTTAATTTATTTCTTCGGTAATAAAAACACGTGGCATTATTATTTACAATTCGTCATTTGAGATTCCAATAAATAATTTTGCATTAAATACTAATATTTCATAAATTCTCTTTACGAAATTTTAATTTTAAGAATAGAATTTCTATAAGGTAATTCACCCTTCTCACTCTCTCTCGATCGGTCTCAATCGCTCTCTCCCTTTCCTTCGACAAAAACGCAAACATCTTTGTGACGTTCCGTGAAAATTTTACCCTCATGCGCCTAAAGAAGTTTCACTTCAAACATGATATTCATTATTTACTAATTTAGAAAACTCTACATCTTACTTAAGAGGTTAAGGCTAAACAATACTATATACAGAGAGAATGCGTGTAGGCTTTTGGTGTGTATTTGAGTGTAACTGAATCATGTGTATTAAAATCGGCGTGATTTAGTGGTATTGGTATAGGTAGTTTATTTATTTTAATGAATGATGAACTCATTCGATACTTTCCCGGTAAATAAGGACACTACTAAAGTTTTTCATAGCAGTAAATAGTATTTTGTTTTGTATTCAGAGATAAATCACCAGGGGCTTGTGACAAAATCAGTTTTCGACAGGCGTGACCCTCTAACACTAAACGAATACGTATGAAAATGGTCACGTGACAAAGCGTTAAGCGTTTAAGCTCATTACCGAGCGCTTATGAACTAATAATCAGACGAGACGGTATCAATGTAATTCTAACACAACTTTATTTAAAGTGTATGTAATTAGCCTCTTCAATTTCCTATCATTGAAAACCAAAAGCAGATAATATTTTCTTATACTTCACAATAATAAAAGTAATATTATAATAAAAATAATGGAATTTTAAAAAAAATACCGCTACCTAATCGTACCTAACCGTTACCACAACAGCCTACAAATAGCAAGTAGAAATCACTTACTCATAAAACACCAGTCTTTCACCATGATCTGCGATTTCCCACATCTTCTTAAAACCCATAGGTAACAAGGCCAAGCTGCTTGGCAAAGCGGTTCCAGCCAATGCAAGGAATGTTGTAACAATTCCGATACTGACAACCGCTCTAAGGCCTTCCATGGCTATAAAAGTTGAACATGCAACGCACGTGACTGCTGTAATTCGGCTTGCTAAAGGATTTGTTACTGAAAATAAACAATAATATTTGCATATAATGTTTAAAGAACTTTAGTTTTCATTAAAAAAAATATTTATTTGTAAAATCCCGCCAAAACGTTTCTCTAGACAAGATGGCGTCGCAACAGTATCTATAACGTACTGTAGACAATAAACGTTAAGTTTTTTACGTGTTAATTATCATTCTCAAATTTCATATATAACCATGCTACGTCAATGTCTGTCAAAACTCTTCCCAGAATATTTAATTTTGTAGCACTCGCTTAAATAATCTCAATAATATAATAAATAAATCAGTGGCGCTACAACCTTTTAGGGCCTGAGGTTTATGTATCTGTTTCATGATCATTTGCTAATTTAATAGGCAAGTAGGTGATCAGCCTCCCGTGCCTGACGCACGCCGTCGACTTTTTGGGTCTAAAGCCGGTTTCCTCACGATGTTTTCCTTCACCGTTCGAGCGACTGTTAAATACGCAAATGGAAAGTAAGTCCTTTGGTGCACAGCCGGGGATCGAACCTACTACCTCAGGGATAAGAGTCGCACGCTCAAGCCACTAGATTTATTATTGAGTTTCAGAACTTTAAAACTGCTCCCAGTAGTTGAGATCTATTTTTTTTAATCCCTGACGTCAACTTACCTAGTCTAAAAGCCATAAGAGGTACATAGGGCACAATTGGAAGCAACATTAATTTACTTATAACATATAAAACGGCAGCTATCGTCCGAGTGTGAGTGGAAAATCTTATTTCCAAATATTCAAAACTCGACGATAACTGCAACTTGTGAAATACTGAAACAAAATATTTTTTTTTATAACAGGGGGCAAACGGGAAGGAGGCTCACCTCTTAAGTGTTAGTACCCATAGACACTAACGTTGCCAGAGGGCTCGCAAGTGCGTTGACGGCATTTGGTACGCTCTTTCTTGAAGGACTAAGTAGAATTGGATTTGGTAAAATAATTGTAGGTTTTATAATATCATAACAATAATACATTTCTGTTTCGTATAGGGCGATATTTGGCTCTACCATTGGGCAACGATATCATCCACCAATCACCAAACGAACAACCACGAACCCACCACCCCAAACACAAATAATATTAAAACATAATACCCTTACAGATTCAGGCAATCAGGACGTCAATTAAACTTAAATCTAGTTTGGAGGGACGTGCGAAGTTTTTGTTCCAAAATATGTTCAGTAATTTTTCTTCAACGAAAGTCAAAATGACAAATCAAATATCAGATTAAACTACAATAGTTATTACACGTGCACTGTTTACCTGGTAAATAAATGACAGCTGTTAAGAATGTCACTACGATAAGAGATAATGTGGACGCCCAGTACTGTGTGCCTCGTAAATATATTTCCACTGGTACGCCGAGAAGCGTTATACTCGTTAAATGGCTGAAAAGTATTTGTGCAATATATATACAGAAAACTAAAGGTAGTCATTTTCATTGTGTTTTTATATGAACTTTTTGGTATAAGTTGAAAATAAATAGTTTCGAAAGGCGTTCGAATTTCACAAGTTTTGAATTTGCCACAATAATCCACTGACACTCGGAGTTGTTTCATGATCATTTTTGAATCTAATACGCAAGTAGGTGATCAGCCTCTAGTGCCTGACACACGCCGTCGACTTTTTGGGTCTAAGACATGTCGGTTTCCTAACGATGTTTTCCTTCACCGTTCGAGCAAATGTTAAATGTACTACTGGGTGCACAGCCGGGGATCCAACCTACGACCTCAGGTATGAGAGTCGCACGCTGAAGCCACTAGGCCAACACTGCTCATTTTTTAGATGTATGACGAATTAATTTCTTCGAGATGTTTTGCCTCACCATATGTGCAAGTACGAATTGCACACATAGATAGACAATCCATGGGTGCACTGGCACCAAATTAAGAATCACGCGCATAGGAGGGTGATATTCAGAGTCGAGACTTAGCCCTAAGTATGACTCCCGTTTGACACCGAATTAAATTTGTCATACAGCAAAGTCTAAGCGCAATGTTCTATGTTCTGATTATAATCTTACTCTTAGATATCTCTGGTACAGTAGTTACTAATTTTTAATATCCTGCAATAGACCAGTGTTGGCCTAGTGGCTTAAGAGTGCGACGGATAGGAATGGGGATATATAGGTATAAGGGCCCAGAGGCTGTGCGTTCGAATTACGGCTGTCCAATATATCTTTGTGCGCAATTAGCACTTGCTCCTACAGTGAGAGCAAACAGGGTGAGGAAATTCCTGTCTCATACCCAAAAATGCATGACGTGGTCGGACTCAAAAGGCTGATCACCTACTTGTGTATCAAATTATTATAATCGAAGGAACAGGGAATATGGTTGTAGCGCCACTGGATTAATACATATTACTTTCTTGTAATTATACAACCTGGTAACATAGACTTGGGTATTTTCTTTACGAAAAGGCCTCTATAAGTTTTCATTAAATTTGTTGCATATAATAATAAAATAGTTTATATTTTTGGTTTAAAAGTAGTAAATGTTTAAATCAGTTCTGTAATTTTAGTTGAAATAATTCATACATTTAAATAAAACAGTTTTCACTCACCTCGCAATTAACGCAAACGAAACTGAAACAGTTGACATATTCTTCCCGCCAAAAAGGAATCCAGACACTGTATTATATTTTCTGTTAACAAACATAAAATAAATAATTACACCGATAACAACACATAATGTTATACCAAACAAACAATATTCGGCTATATTAAAATATATAGGCAATGCGGTTACTGTATTGTTCCTCATTTCACAACAGTACAGTACTTTCTTCGGTAATTATCTCGTTACAAATACCAGATATCAGATAAAACTAACGACATTAACAGATAATTAAGATAAAAGTGGATCTTCAATCTGTCAGTAAATAAGCTGAACTAGATTTATCTTGAATGGTTTTAGCAAATAAGTCTCTTTGTGTGATTGTTAATTTAAGATTGTTAAATTAATTATGACAAAAAAATATTACCAATATATAAAGTTGTATCTTATCATTTTATAGGGGTTTACTAGTACTTTTTACTATAACACTCATCTAAATGAGCAGCACAGAATCGAATATTGTCCTAATAGATTCCATCTCTACGTTTTCACTATATAAATTATCTTCCATTGATTAGACTTTTCCAAAAATGCATATTCTGGAAATATAAAATTACAAATAAAAACAGTACATGAGTGAAATAACGTTGATAATTATATTATTTATTAATACTTTTTTAATAAAAGTACTATTAGATTCATATCGAAAATAACATTTATGTTTTTATTTTCACGGCATTTTATAAAAAAAATCTAAGTCGATTAAAAGCTAGCTCCATCAAGAAAGTAGAAAACCAAAATTCTACTTTCTTGATGGGAAAAAGATATAGATCGATAATCCACTATCGATCTACAAAGTTAAAATTTTAAATTCCTAAATCCAAAGTAATAGGCCTCATGGATATCGTGGCGAAGCTTCGGCAACGACGAACGAACGGTCGGTTGACGGCGGCAACTCGAGGTTGTTTTTCTCATAGCAGTGAACATAATATATGATTCGCATAAAAGTCACTGCACCTTTTTGATGATTGTTCATTTTAACACAATTAAAAAAGTATACAATCAATATTATGAGCCATACTATTAAATTATGTTTGTGTGGATTTCAGAATATTTACGCAGGCTTTTTCCATTCAGAAAATGGAAAGGTGTGTCGAAAGGTAAGTAAATACACGAACCATGAAATATTCTTTTAAATTCATTGTATGTAATTTTCACTGCGTATTTTATTTTATTTGTAAGATCATCGTATTACTAATAGCAGGATGTTCATTTAATCTAATAGGGCACAAACTATTCCAAAGCCATCATGTTCTAGAGGTCTTCGAAATCCATGATGGTGGAGAACAAATAATCCTTGGAAAAGTAATACCACACACCAAAGTAGGTAATCGACCGTACGACGTGAAAGTGGAGGAATGTATTAATTATAAAATTAATTAATGGTTGAAAAATCTAAACAAATATATTTTTCATCAACTTCTCCACTACACATGCAAAATAAAAATGGAAAATGAAAATATATTTCTTTATCAAAGAAATATGTATATTATCTTGAAGGAATAAGTATTGTTCTGAAATATTGAACCGATAGTAAAATTTTATTTATTTAGTCATTTTTTATTTCATCGTTTTTCATCTATCATTTCCAGTTCTTGTGGTTTTGAAGCTGTTGACGTACTTACCCATTTTCTCTTTTTTTTCAGAAGTAGCTCGTGTCTAGGCCAATTGTGATAACCCTTTTTTTTTGTACACAAGGGGAAAAATTGTTGGGACACGCTGGGCTGTTTTCGACGTAAGACTGCTTTCCTCCAACAAAATGAGCACTGCAGATTCGAGTGTCCTTACTCGGATGCCACGGCTTGTTATCTAATGTTCTAAAATAATAATAAAAAATAAAACGTATATATACGTTCCCGGTATCAACTCGTCATAATAAATATTTACTTACATTCTTCTGACAGCTTTTATCCACTCATTTCTTTTGTTAATTTCCCAATTCCGTCTAGGAATCGAATTAAAAGTTAAAGCACGACTCCGAGATTGGGAATTTTTACACCCCACAACACAACAGTACCTCGTACCACCCGTTTTTTTCGTTTTTGAGAGCACTTTCTAACGTGATTGAATAACGTAAACCGTACAGCTAATCGCACTCAGACGCCTGCATGTTGCCTGAATCTGCCACAACGCCGCGCCACTAGCGTTATCCAAGAGGCCTTAGATACTAAAACAAACTTTAAATTATTGATATTGCAAACTTTTAATAGCTTGCCCTAAGTACTAGATAAGTAAGAAGAGTGGAATGCATAGTATTTTTTATTTGTATGATAAAGATTAAGACTGATAAATTAAAATTTAATTAATTATCAAATAAAAATCTTTATTAAAGTTGGTCAAAAACAATTTCAAAAGAGACGTCCGTACTCCATAGAACCTTTGGTAGAACGTACAGGTGCCTTTGCAAGTTTGACTTAGTTTCAAATAATAAGTATAGGTGGCACTAATTTATGAAATAAAATAAATTATAGATGTGAGAATATTAAAATGGTTATTAGTTTACACAACTGGTGTTAAAAATAATAAAACGAAATTTTGCATTCTTAAATACTATATGTATGCTTTTATTTTACGCTATCTATCGTTACTCCACTGTTTTAGTAGATAAGTCTTGAAAATGTATTCAGAGCAGATTTAGTTTGGACTGCGTATATTCTTCACATGTACCGCATTAAGGTTACACTAGATGGCAGTAATTACAATATTTTGAAATACTATAATGATGTTTTCTGTGATGTTATCTAGATATAAAATAGTTTAATATATTATAGGTATTTTACTCGGATTTGAAAAAGTAGAGTACAATGTCTCAATATGACACAAGACCGCGAATATATTTTATAGCTTTTCCATACATTCAATTAGTACATTATGAAAAAGTGTATCCAACAAAAACAGCATTTCAGTTCGAAAGAAAATGTTTTACCTACCACGGCATAACGATCAGTTGGTGTGTTTGTCCCAATACATACTTAAATTGCAAAGGGGCTTAAGGTCGTATCGCCGGAGGTGAGAGAAAATTATAAGAGAAAGGGACACTTCCATGCCGCTTTAAGACAGAGATAGTCAACATTTTACATCAATATTTTTGGTAATAATAAACCATGTTAATAGTCTTCCGCTGATGAATGAAAAAAATTACTGTCAAATAAATTTTATCTAAATGAGCGATTTATATTTATGCTGGTAAATACTAAAGTTCCTTATGAATGTATATAAATTATGAAGCTTCAATAATTTAGAAACACATGGTGCAAGTATTATGTGATTATATACAGAAAACAATTTATTATAACAAAAAGTACATACAGCTAGTGGTTGTATCGGGCGACAAAGCTTTCGTAGCGATTATTTAAGAATAAGCAGAACAACAAACCTATTCAGTTTATCTTTCAAATCAAAAACCCTCCGGACTAAACCAAATATAACGTAATTTCGGAAGCTACGAAAGCTTCTAGTTTGGTATATTGTATGATATCGTTTTTACGACCTAAAAATAATGTATGCTTAATTTATCAAATAAATTATTATATCTTTAGTTCATTGAATAAGTTCAATTTTTCCTTTTGTAGTATTGCTAGCCAAAAGTTTACAATCAGTGCTTAGGGGACAAAAGCGTTTTTCATAAGTTCGCATGATTGCACCCTTTGACCGAAAAAGGGACGAAATCTCACTAATAAGAACATTTTAAGTGTTTGGAAATGTCTACAATTATATAAAAATATTCCGCAGTTTCTCACTTAATTTATATGACTATAAATATACATAAATAAGGCAACCTATATACCTGAATAATGTATTAATCAAGTTGATATAAATTTAATAACGTATGATATGATATGTACGATACAAATAATATAAGAATTGACCAATTCATATGACTAATAATATAAATTCCTTTAAAATTAATTTGCGCGCCATTGTCTGTAGCAGAATATGCGAACTTACGATTATACCACCTTACACATTTTTGTACCATATTCTTGCAATAAATAAATAAATTATAATTATTATTATAACCGTGGACGTTGAGCCGGCTTTAACAAAACTATACACAAATCCAGGAGGTACTAGAAAAGGATCAAGTTAAAGTATCCATAACCGACGAGTATGCATAGTGAATGTCATGAAAGTGCATCGGGTAAAAGGCGTGATAATATAATAAAAATATATAAAATAAATAAATGTATTTTTTTACAAGTAGGTATTTTAATATATTTTTAAATTATAATTTAATTTTGTTATTTCTTTCAAAAATAACATCTAATTCAGTTGAAAAGTTCCACTAGGGTCATTGACCTCTAAAGTGCAATGAACTTTGAACTAGACCTATCGGCTGTATTTTAATAAAATAGTGGATACTGAAGTTGTTTAAGTTTATAATTATCTACAGTTTTATAAAATAAATTATATATTCCTCAGACAAACCATTAAAGAAAATGGTGGATAGACCAAAAGACCTGGGTAGGGTTTCCTTCGTGTATAATGATGACCATCCCTTACAAAGTCGATGAATCTAATAAATCTGGATATATTTTTAAATGTAACATACATTTTATGAGACCATAACAAATCATATAGTTATCTGTATAATGGGGAACACGACAATTTAATCAAACTTTATGGGTTGGAGGTTAAAATAATCTCGGTAACAGTTAAACTGTTCTTAGCGACGTAAGAATTGCCATGGATGAGGGGCCCTAATCCCTTTTCCCTTTATTACATACAAACACACCATGACTTTTTTAAAAACTGCAACCAACATACATTATACATCTATAAATTTCGATTTATTACGACTTTAAAAATATATTTAGCATTGGAGTTTTCCTACTCTTTTCTGCCAAAAAGCTTTCCTATAAAGGGTCTTTTGTACAATACAAATAAACATTTTAAACTTATGTCTAAATATATATATATATATATATATATATTATATATGTGTTAATAAAACTGGGGCGGAGCAGACGGAAAATAATAAACGGCTCAAATGTAAGAGTCTTTCCTCTTTCCGATTTTGCTCCCTTTGGAGTAGAGACTCTTAGACCCCACGGCCCAAGAGTCTCTTAGTGGAGACTCTTGGGCCGTGGGGTTCAAGTGCACAGGCGCTAATTAAATATTTAAGTTGGCGCCTGGTAGATAGTACC